CTTTATCTCATATATTTCTCGAGTCAACAAAGTTCAACAAGAACAAGTTTCCACTTCCCAACAATGACATCTCGTTTGTTTTTACTCAGTCTCCTAATGGGGAGTTGTTCACTTGCTATGACTTCAGATTCAAGTCCTCTCCAAGACTTTTGTGTAGTTGCACCAAAACGTAGAKGTCAAAAAAATATAATCTTTAACTGTTGAAACTTGCTCAAATGTTAATTATCTGAAAATTTGTAGTATTTGTTATGTGTTTTTGATCAGTTTTGTGCTTTTTTGAACAGTATTCGTGAATGGTAAGGTATGTAACGATCCAAAGATTGTGCGAGCGGACGATTTCTTTATGCTAGTTTTTTATGTTCCATTGTTTCTGCTATAAAAACATAACAGTATTCGTGAATGGTAAGGTATGTAACGATCCAAAGATTGTGCGAGCGGACGATTTCTTATTTAGTGGGCTCCACCTTATGAAGATACATCAAATGCGGTTGGCTCTAACGTGATTACGTGACTGTAGTAGAGTTACCAGGACTTAACACTTTTGGTATTTCAATGGCTCGTAGCTCCATCAGGTATTAACCCTCCACACACACACACCCCCTAAGGCCACTGAAATCTTGACGGTCCTAGAAGGCAATATTGAAGTTCGTTTTGTCACATCTAACCCTGAAAACTATCTCATCAGTAAAGACCTTCAGAAGGGGGATGTTTTTCTCTTCCCGCAAGGTCTAGTTCACTTCCACAGGAACATTGGAAACAATTATGCTGTTGTTATTGCCGCTTTGAGTAGCCATAATCCAGGTGCCATTACCATTGTGAATGCAATGTTCGATTCTAACCCAGATATTGCTAGAGATCTTCTTGCAAAGGCCTTCCAGATGGACAAGAACGTTGTTTATTAAACTCAATCAAAATTCTAGACCCCCACTTGATCTCAATTAAATGAAATTTTTAACATTCATTATTTATTTAGAAAGACTTGGTTTTTTTGTTGTTTATGAATGTTCAGAAAATTTAGTTGAACTTATTTAATTGGTTAAACCGTACAAAAATTAAGTCTCACAAACAATACCTAATAAATCAATCTTTGGACACATTAATAATCTTTTCTACTTTTCCTTG